TTTGCAAAACAGCTCCAGCTCAGTCAGAACCACTTCATAAAGTGGTTGTTCAGGTTTAAGCAGTGGGAGGCGAAGAACTAATATATCCATAAGTGATGGCTTAACATTCTGCATTCAAGTATAAGTTTGTCTAAGTCCGCCATTGTAGAAATTCATTGCACCGAAACAAAAACGTGCACAGTGTGACGTCAAAATAGGTGCACACCTTTGACGCTGCGTTTTCTCAGTTTTCCTCATCCACACGTAAATGCAAAAACTTGAGTTTTCGAAAATATTCACCTTGGCAGGCGTTTTAAAAAATCTCAGTTTTCAGCGAACGAAAACGAGGTTTACGTGTGGATGAAAGGTGTAAATGCATAGAAATATCTGCGTTTTCAAAAATACCCTGATACGTGTGGACGTAGCCTTATTCATTATTCAAGGCACAAACGGAAAGTCATGTATGCGTGCAACGTACAGTCACGTGGGCATGCCGCGTGAGCATTCAAACTGAGTCTAAAGTTTTTGTGTGCGAATTGAAGCGGGTGCTCTCCAATCATCAAAAGTAACAAACTCATTGAACACATTTATAGTTACCTTTACATTTACCAATCATATATCACAGATTTACAATTTTATTTAGTACTATGCAAAAAAACAACCGCAGAGCGACAGTCTGGGTCAATGGTGGCCGAGGCGACGGCAAGGCTAACAAAGGAACCCTCAAAGCGTTAGGCTAGCTTTGTAACGGAATATAACGGAAAAGTATGAAACAAAAAAGTTTTCTTTGTTGATAGACTGTGTTCACAGTGCAATTTATTTGTTGCCAGACTGTAAGATGAAAGTACACAATTTCAGGCTCCCACATTTTGTCAGAAACTGTACATTAACGAGTTTTTTACTGTTATTCAAATGCAACAGTGGAAATAACGAATAGAAGAAAATTCATTCATTCTTACCTTATACTAACCGTGGCAGGCCAGTGCAGTGCATGAACGTGCCTTCTCTGGTCAATTCCGCTGAGAGTAAATCTAATGTCCCGCTCTACTGTACAAGACTTGTGAATGGTTACCTGGAGGGATGTACCACTGTGAGAGGGGTGCTACGGAATAGTCCAAGTGATCGCTGCTTTAATTTCCCGGTCAACTATACATAAATTGCACGTCGACATGATTTTTTAAAGCTGGTGAACTGTAACTAGACCAGAAATCGGTGATAACAAAAGAACATTCGATCAACTTATACTTTACTTACTTTATACCCGCTCAGTTGCAAGGCAATTTAACGCTCAACTACAAATCAATGGCTTTTTGATGGTGACCTGTAGGGATGTACCACTGTGAAAGAGGCATTTCAGATGATCGCCGCTTTGATCTCTGGTCATCTATAAATAGATGTTTTTTCAACGACGTTGATTAGCTGCGTATATACGAATGTGAATCGCATTATTGGCTGGACTATGGGGATAAGGTGGCATCGTTCTAATCAGCCAGTCACT